ACACAATGGAATACTATGCTGTATTGAAAAACAAGGAATTCATGCAATATTATTCAAAATGGGTGACCCTGGAGGACATTATGCTCAGTAAAATATCTCAGTCACAAAAAAACAAATATTGCATAGTATCACTGTTGTAGAATGGGACTGACATCAGGGTTGGGGTAAGACTGAGAAAAACTGGATAAACTTTCTATACTGCATTGAAACAGATGAGGGAGAGAATAATTTAAAAGGGATGAAAGGGTATTATGTTTATCATAAGAGTCCGGAATTAAGGTTTCATAGTGGAGTGCACTTGGTGCAGGGGCCGAGGTGGGGGGAGGGATTGTGTACCATAAAGGAGTTTTTCTTTCGCTTTTAGAAAAGAGGAGCGAACGGGGTGGGGCGGGGGGGGGGGGGCAGGGAGAAAAGTGCAACAATGAATGACTGGAAATCCAAAATCTCTGTAAATGTTCATTAACATTAATGAAATTTAAAGAAAAAGATGTATTGTGATGGGAAAAGTCTGCTGTCGGTGACCTCTCCAAATTACTGAAGAGCAATGATGTCACTCTGGAGACTAAGGTGTGCCTTATACAGGCCACGGCATTTGCAATCACTCGCTATGAGTCAGAGAGCTGGACAATGACTAGGGATGATAGAAGGAGAATTGAGGCCTTTTAGCTGTGGTGTTGGTGAAGAGTATTGAATATACCTTAGACTGCTGAGAGAACAAAGAGGTTTGTCCTAGAAAGGGTAAGACCAGGCTGCTCCTTGGAGGCAAGGATTCTGAGGCTTTGTCTGACATACTTAGGACATGTTGCAAGGAAGAACCAGTCCTTGGAGAGGGACGTCATGCTTGGGAGTGTGGGGGGACAGTGCAAGAGAGGAAGATCCTCGATTAGATGGATTGACTGATTCAGTGACTGGGGTAATGGGGGTAGGTGTGTGAGAGACAGTGAAATTGACCCAGAATAGAGCAGGGTTTAGGGCTGTTGTACATAGGGTCGCTATGAGTCAAAGGCAATTCGATGGCAAATAATAACAACAACAACAACAACAACAACATACAAACAAAACTGCTTTTAGAACACTGTAGTCCGTGCTACATTTAATTATACACAGTTTACTTTGTTTTCTAATTGCGTTGTGTCATTATTACCCCAGTTGATAAATTCCTGTAAAGAAAGAAATCATTTATTATAATCTTTTCTCTGTTACTTTTGCCTCTATGGTACAAATGCACTAAGTTGGGCAGGTCATGACTTTCTGTTCTTTATTTTGTGCTATGAATACCCTGTGCTTTGTAAATTTTATCCTCTATGATGTTTATGAAGCAGGATTAGAGGTAGTTATGTTAATGAGGCAAGATATAATCTACAATTGTAGTTCATCTTTTGAGCCCCTCTCTTCTGAGACATAAAGGAAAGTAAACAACTGAGAAGAGTTAAGAGGTATGAGACTTCCACTGGAAGAGCTAGTGCGGAGTCCTTTGGAGTCAGGGTCCTTGTGCTTAGAACCTTCTAGAAATACAAGAAGCCTAATACCAAGACACACAGAGTTCTCAAAGGAACCCTGAGTCCTCAGGTGTTGAAAGGAGACAAGAACCTTCCACCAGAGCAGACAGAGATACAAAGGCTTTCTCTAGAACAAGTATTCCTAAATACCAAGTAAATAAACTTCTGTTTGTTCAAGGCATCTACTTAGGATACTTAGACGGACCCCTGATAATGTAATGTAAAATGTGTCCAGCTCCTCCAGAAAGGTCTGCAGCCTTAGAAATCTATTGGAGGGACACTGTGAGTCAGTATTAACTTGGCGGCAGTGGAGATAACTAAGAAAGACACTGCCCACTTCATCACATGTGTACACCTGGATCCCTTAAATGCTCAGACAAGAGCTGTATCACAGTTAGGGATTAAGCTATGTGGTGACACCTGCAACTATTAGGAGTTAGTTGGACACGACAAATGTGTGGATTAGGTCTAACACACAGACCTTAAAAGCTCTACAGGTTCAATAATAATCACAGATTATGCATGTTATTTTAGGTGCCAGTGGGTCAATTTTAACTCGCAGAACCCGGAGTGTCAATGCAGAAGTGTCCCAGTAAGGTTACTTGGCTGTAAGCTTTACCAAAATCAACCACAAGGTCTCTCTCCCTTGCAGCCACTCTGGTCCAGCTCTACCTTCAACCTCTCAGAGAAGTCAGGTGCTTAACCCCCCTGCACCACCAAGGCTTCTTAAGTTTTCTATTGTTATATACTGTCGAGTCAGAATCGAATCATAGCTGACCCTCCAGTGGATTTTCAGAAGCAGTGCATCGTATGGAAGGTGCAAGTCAATCTTTCTCTCATGGAGCAGCTGGTGGATTTCAACTGCTTGCCTTTGAGTTCCTTTACCTCTTACATCAGAGTTCCAAGTACTTTATTACCCAGATGGAATGAGAAGAAATGTAGTGTATATAAAATCACCCTTCTCCACTTCTTCCCAAGGCATTCAAAGGCTATATACTTGCCAAGTCAAAACTTTCCTTTTGTTCCTTCAATTACTCTGCTGATTGTTTTAGTATACATCTGATATTTTATCTCTATTATCACTTTAACAGCCCTTGATATGACTCATTTTTTTAATATTTAAAACTCAGACTACTTGGTCTGAGACGGTTCAAAACTGAACCATGAGATGTCAAAATGCAAAAAAGGACAAGATAATGAAAAGACATATTTTCTCTGCATTTTACCAAGAAGTGTAGAAGACATGTGACAATTAAAGAATCCACAAAACCAGAAGAAGGTGCTGGTTTGTTTTTGTTTGTTTGTTTTGAGCTTCTTTGTTAAAAAAATATTTTCCAACTTCAATATAAAGAACTGTAATGACAGAATTTATTCTTTAATGTGAAAACCACCACAAAAGCCAAAAACAATAAACAAAAGCCCAGTCAGAGTCTCATGGAGAGGTCCAGCATGGCCAAATCTAAGAACTCTACCCATCAGCCTCATCTCTCATCTTCAATGCTCTATGTACATGTGCTGTATACTTGAGAAAGCATAGTGACAATCAATGGGACCTAAGAGTGAGAAGTAGACGAGAAAGAAGTGTACCAAGTGCGAGAGCAGCTAAGTTCCACTACCTCTAACACTGACGAGAATGAATGCCATAACTGTAATCTAGGAAAGTCATTAATGTGTCCTGTCAACTCAGATAACATATGCAGAAGCAAGAGTAAATAAGAGAGAGAACAAAAATGTCTCTGTGAGGGAATCACCCAGACCTAGAAAGACACTGAGGTCTAACCAAGCCACAACAGCACAAAGGGCCTGATTCTCAAGTCTTCAGAAATTAAGTGGGGGAAGCAACAGCAATGAAAAGGTACACATTAAAAGTACTAAAGCTCAGTGAGAAGATGACACTACACATTTAAAAGCTATCTTTAGAAGACCACTTACTAAGTGCAATCACTGCTGCATTTAGGTTTATAAAGGAAGAATTTTACAGTCATTAAATATATAGACATTATGCTTCATATGAAAGCCACATTATACCTTTTAGAATCTGAATCTAGATCACATAAGTGGGACACAATCATCACCTCATCAACCTAGGACTAAAGGACCCTGCAAATCTAAACTTGTAAGGGATTTCCAGCATCACAGCTGGGCAATAATGTCCCTTTGGTGATCAAGCTCCAATATAATCACAGTTCAAGGTCCACCATATGCCTATTCATTCTCCTGAAGAAGGAATAGAATTCTTACTGTTCTTATTTGTTCTGTTTAACAAATTACTTGAACTCTTAAAAATATCTACTAAGTACTTCTACAGCAGGAACACCTATACCTGTTTGATCTTCACAATGCTTTCTTATCACTGGACAGTCTCCCTGCCCTCCAAGGTGACAAGTAAGCTCCTAACGCTGAGAAAGGCTAAGCTGTATCTCAGGGTCTCCTTTCTGCAATGGACATTTTGTTACTTGGCTTTTCAGAGTTCTCCACATGAGACACATTTACCAGAACAAACATCAATCTACTTCCTTTTTCTGTTAGTTAAGAAAGGATCAACTGACTGATGGTCATTAATTTGACTCAAGTATACGCAAAGATAAAGGAAGTTAAATGTACTCTAACTTTGAAAAAAATGATGCAAAGTGAAAACTCTTTGCAACTGATCCTATTATTTATAACCATCTCACTGCTCATCTACCTTTAACTGCCACATTCAAAGACACCTCGCTCATGCAACCAGTATACATCCAATGTGTAATCATGACCCTTTTCAAGGTTTTCTTGTAAATTAAAAGACTAAATGCAAACCTGACGGCATCCATGGGTCAGAAGCTGGTTTGCTCAAGGTGTTCACTTGCTCCCAGTTAAAGTCATCGTCATCAGGTTGACTGTATCCACAGGTGCTATAAGGCTCATCAAAAAGGCAGCCACCTAAAACACAAGAAGTGGAAGATTGTGTAAGCGATTGGCAGATCTGAAAAAGTTACAGTTACTGCAAATAAAAAGCACACACACTGAATGCTAAGCTAAATCGGAATTGATCTTATTACAACAGTCAATAAAGGGGTGGGAAAACCAACACCTAAGAAACTAGTCATCCTGTAATTGCTTGATAGAAACACTATGTGCTACCTTAAGAGTAAGCACTTTATTTTGAAACTAACAGAATAATGAAAGACTAACCTTTCAAATAATGGATACTAACCTTCCACAATAGCCTACCCTAACAAAAGTAAGACCAATACTGTTTCCTATAACATTTTAAAAGAGCAGAAGTTTTTCCTCTTGGCAAGTTTCCTTATCAAAACTGAAGCCGTTTGATGCTGTTTGCCTGTGTACCCTGCAATCTGAGGCTGAGAATTACTCAATTTTGGTACATCAAAGCTGCCAAGCTATTGTAGAACCTTGAGAAGGCTGAGCAAGCCCAGGGCACAATCACCAGGTGGAAATGCCCAGATAAAAGGACAGACTGCTAAAACTCTTCACACTCACTGTCCTGTCCCTCTCCTACAGACACAGAAAAACTTCTCACCCTGACTGGCCTGCCCCTCTTCTCCAATCCAAGAAAATGGTCACGTACTTCAATGCCCTGCCTTCCCTATTCAAGCTCCTCAAGTCTCCATTTGGGAAGCTCATACACCTCTCTCTAATATGCATACATATAAATCAAGCATCTGCTTTTTCCACTCCAAATGCTCTTTCCAAGACTGTTTTCTTCATGACAAGTAGTGGAACCACATTTCTCCAATAACATTATTGTTTAGGAACTGTTAATTTGATCCTTATGATCCCTTTGCAAGGCTAACTATTAACTGTATCTTGTCAATACCTCTGTACACTGTTGTTATGAAATTAATTCCATGATGGTATACATAATTTAATACTTTCAAATTCATGTTTTCCGCACTTACAAATATCTGGAACTATTGACTCTCTAACCCAATATCCCCAGCAAATTGAAAAAGAACAGCAAGAAAACCCGACACCCTTTAAAAAAACTGAAATTAT